GGCGGTTTGTACGGATTCAGCTGCGGCACCAACACCACCGGGACCAGGTGAGACCCGGCGACGTGTCCCATTATTATACATTGTTTAGAAGGTTTCTGCTGCCTGATGGTGACGGGTTGGGGTGGCTGTGGGGGATTTATATATCTTCAGATCTGCACACAATCATTGTCAGAGGTATTGTCCGTGTATACTGGATGGAGCCGTGTACATGGCGGGGTCATTGTCCGTGTATACTGGATGGAGCCGTGTACATGGCGGGGTCATTGTCCGTGTATTCTGTATCTATAGGGGCCCCTCTATGTCTGGTACCTGTGTCTGTATCTATAGGGGCCCCTCTATGTCTGGTACCTGTGTCTGTATCTATAGGGGCCCCTCTATGTCTGGTACCTGTGTCTGTATCTATAGGGGCCCCTCTATGTCTGGTACCTGTGTCTCCTATCTATAGGGGCCCCTCTATGTCCGGTACCTGTGTCTCCTATCTATAGGGGCCCCTCTATGTCTGGCACCTGTGTCTCCTATCTATAGGGGCCCCTAATACACATTATATTGATGACGTCACTCTAAATACAATCATCATTCCCAGGCGATGGCGTAAATATAGGAGTGGCCCCGCGATCCGGCGTAGAAGGGTCCCTGACATCACACCAGATATGTGTATTTAGGGCAGAAGCAGCACCAGACAGATGTCCTCAGAGTCCTAAAGCATTGATTTGATTCCTCAAATAACCAACGGAAAAATAAAGGCAGCCAACGCGTTTCGGCAGCCAAGCAATCCCTCTTCATCAGGGCCAGGACCCGGCCGAGCTTTGCCTGTCCCCTCACCACTGCTGAACACTCACGCTGTCTACACCCTCCCCCATTAGAGATGTGGTCTGTCACTAGCAGGAACTAGATCTAGAGGGTGACGCTCGCTTTCATCGGAGGAGGGGCATGGCAGCGGAAGTCTTTGGCCCCCGAAACTCATTGGCTGCCATTATTTATTTGTTGTCATTTGGGGAATTGAATCATCACTGCTGGACTCTAAGGACGTTGGTTTGTCGCTCCTTCTGGCTCAGATACCCGGACTTCTCTTATGGAGAGCTGCTGCACACAAGCATGGAAACTATGTTAAGGGCCACAATTTGGTATCAGTGGGGGATCCATATCTAGCGCTTCGCTTCGTCCTGAACATTAAAACCTGTAGGGCCGCCATAAGGGGGTATTGCAGGCGATTCTGATTGCAATGTGTGCAGCCTAGACTGTAAGTGGTGTGACTCCGGTTCTCGCTCCTCTGCACCACATTGGTGACACTTCATGCTGTAGCAACTGTTCACATACCGCAACATCCCCTCCCCCCCCATTGAACACACACTGGCCCTCAGAGCTGACAGTCATTGAACACACACTGGCCCTCAGAGCTGACAGTCATTGACCTCACACTGGCCCTCAGAGCTGACAGTCATTGAACACACACTGGCCCTCAGAGCTGACAGTCATTGACCTCACACTGGCCCTCAGAGCTGACAGTCATTGAACACACACTGGCCCTCAGAGCTGACAGTCATTGACCTCACACTGGCCCTCACAGCTGACAGTCATGGCTCTGGGGGGATGATGTTGCTGAGCAGAGTCCGCTCCGTGCGGCAGACGCAGATTCATCGTCTCTCCAGGATTTCGCCGGGATCCAGTTGTGCGTTTCACTTGAAGCGTCACATTGCTTCTTTATGACGGGGACACCTGGATCTGAGGATCGTTGTGTTCCCAGACACCGGCACGGCGCCAGGAGGAGACGGTCACACTCGTGCCAGCTTCTGCCAAGCTTCATTGATGCCAGCTGCCGGCAGAGAGACATGAGAGAGGCCTGCACACTGTCCAAGAACATGGCAGCCATTGTTGTGCCCGGTCTCTCCCGCAGCTGCCCTGTGACCGCCTTTCACATTGGAATGGAGCGGGGAACATTGCAGGCAGATGTGTGAGCGACGTGTGACCCCCCCATGAATCGTTCACCCGTCATTCACCCATCATTCCAGGATACAGACAATTGACTGGCACAACGGTTCCACCATCAGGCTAAACAGAGAAGCCTCTGATAGAGCCTGGCACCCTCCTTCTACACAGACACCTCACCAACAGATGCAGCTTACTCCTAAAGGTAACAGTTAGACCGTGACAGCTTCCATTGGAGTCTTCTCACCCAGGTGCTTAGCTGGATGATATAGTATTATTATTATACAGGGTTTATATGGCGCCAACAGTGTGCGCAGCGCTATACAATATAAGACAAGATGGTGAGGAGGGCCCTGCCCCTGAGGGCTTAGGCCTCATTCACACTGCCGCGCATATTGTACCATATGCAAATAAACGCACATAGCCGCGCGTGGAGCCGTATATTTGCGTAGCGTATATATGCGCAAAAACAGAATGGAACAGAGATGCGTCCGGCAGCGTATTGCTGCGTATTTACGTGCACATACGTGTGTTTAGGTGCATATACGCGCGTGCATGCGTACAGCACAATAAAAATTCCATTATGAGTGATGCATTCTGGGATTGCATATACGCGTATAAATACGCACATATACGCAATATACAATTTTGCTCTTGCGTTGTGTGTGAATGAGGCCTGCAATCTCAAAATGTACGGCGGTGGTGCAGTATGCGAACAGTTGCTACAGCGCCAAGTGTCACAAATGTGGTGCAGAGGAGCGAGAACCGGAGTCACACCACTTACAGTCTACGCTGGACACATTGCAATTAGTGAAAGGTGAAGGTGTCAGTTGGCGTTGCCGGGTGCACATTGCCGGGTTGTAGTTGTGTGTGCGGAGTATAGAAGGAGCGAACCGCGTCACTGCACACAATTACTGGATGTGCACAGAGTGTAGAGATGATCAGAACATGCCGAGTCCAGCGTATCGGCAGTGATACCGAGTCCAGCGTATCGGCAGTGATACCGAGTCCGGCGTATCGGCAGTGATACCGAGTCCGGCGTATCGGCAGTGATAGCGAGTCCGGCGTATCGGCAGTGATAGCGAGTCCGGCGTATCGGCAGTGATAGCGAGTCCGGCGTATCGGCAGTGATAGCGAGTCCAGCGTATCGGCAGTGACGGTGTGGAGGACGCCATGGAGGACGCCATTATCACAGTACATGTAGCTGTGTGTCTGGATATTGTAGAGGAAGAGTTTGGTTGTGCGCAGCAGACGGCGGACGTTGGTTGTAGAAGGTGTCAGAGTTCCGGCATCCCTCTGTTGATGAGTCAGCTTTGTGTATAAGCGGCAAGGACAAGAGAACTAATCCTGAAGAAAACACAGATAGACCGTGCGATAAGACAGAGCGTCCATTACCCAATGACCCCGTTCCCCCCCCCCCCACCTCTCCT